CTAATACCGTCTAGTTGCATAACCAAATTCAGTCGTTCACAACTCATTGTTCTTTTCTTATCTTCTACTATTATCAGAATTTAGGAGTGTCAAATGGACGGATTGAGCTGATTTTGGACGGATCAAAATGGGATGGGTTAATAAATGGGCGTGTTAATGAACCCCCCAAAAGTAATTTGAGCTAAGATGAGTTGGATCAAGTTGGCTAAAATTTGAATCATGACCCAACCCGCCCAACTTTTACCAAACTTAATTAATGTGTATTGTTTTCTTATGAATTATTTAATTATAAATAAGATTTTTTCCTTTTATTATGGTCATATATAACATATCAAACAAAAGAAAGTTATTTTTAAGATATTCATGCATAGTTACTCATGGATCAATTTGGGAAAAGAAATCAGTCCAACTTTAAATGGATTGGGTCAAGATGGGTTAAACTCAACAATTGGGCGGGTCAATAACCAGGCCAACCTTAGGCATGTCAAATGAGTTTGGGCTTAAATTGCCGCCCCTAATCTGAATTAATATTGTACCTCAAAACCAACATGCGCCTTTATTTTAATACTTTGCATCCTGGTGCGAGTTAAGTAGGAGTTGGAAGTGAGTGTCAATGATGCAAAAGGGTGCGAATTATAACATGCCACAATCCATAACGTTGTGTCAACGAGTTAGTTAAAGTTAAAGTAAAATGGACGAATAGTTCCAACTGATCTTCCCACTGGGAACAGAAAGAAAAAATCCAAGAAAAATGAGGTTCAGTATTTCAGTACAAATGATTATTGGAGTGATTCACGTAACAGTATGCTAGAGGTAAAGTTGCTACCAGCCGGAGGAAAAATGGCATCCGATTTATTCTTGATAAATTATGAGTATGCTACTCTTCATGCCGATTTAATGGTAATTTAGATTAAGGTAGAATAGGTTCGCTCAGTTGTCACCATATACCCACTTCTCTGAATTGCTTGTGTAGTTAACCAACTCTTCTGGTTTAAACCATAGGTTGATCTCATCCTTGGCAGTCTCGGGTCCATCGCTACCATGGATGATATTCCTGTAATGCAGCTTGTGTTAACGGTATTATGAAATCATACGAGCAGAATTGACTTTGGGATCAAGGGAAAAAATTTATTACCTTCCGACTACAACAGCTAAGTCACCTCTGATGGTTCCTGGTTCGGATTTCTGTGGATCTGTGGCTCCGATGAGCTTCCTTCCATATCTGATTACTCCTTCACCTTCCCAAACCTGAAGAAATATTGTATGGAGTTACTCAAAAAGAATCAGTTTTGGCAAAAAAGTAAAATGACATTTGACCGTTAAATATCTCTAACCATTGCTAAGACAGGGCCAGAGCTAAGGAAATCACATAGGCCATTAAAGAATGGTCTCTCCGACAAGTCATGATAGTGCTTCTGTGCGAATTCCTTGGAAGGAATCACAACTTTGATTGCAACCAGCTTGAAACCCTTGCGCTCAAAGCGCGCTATGATTTCTGAAATCTAAAATGCAACAAAAAATTATCAACCAATCAGAAAGAGAATATATATTCCCATCACACGAGTGCCAGATGGTGGGATTGTGACCAGAGATGAAGAGAAGGAAAAGGCATCAAAATATGAAAATGGCAAGTACTTCAGCTGCCACTTCAATAGGGGAAGCACATTAATGGGAGGTTATATAAATAAAGGAAGCACCAATGAAAACCAGTTATCGTACCAGGCCCCTCTGCACTCCATCTGGCTTGATGGCGATAAAGGTGCGCTCCATCTTACAAGAAGAAAAAAACAGATCATGTATGCTATTAAGAAGAATGAATAAAAAATGAACGATATAACACCTCAATCAAGAGGAAGGCCGAGTATAGGGTACCTGAGCAGCATGTGCTTCTTGCTCTTGGAGCATGTAAGCTAAGCGATGAAGAGAGGGGAAAAATGAAATTAGAATACAAGTTACTAATTCCCAGAATACGGAAGTAAAGCAACTGGTGTGATCACTTGTAATAAGATTTCACTCTTCTTTTTCTTTTTCTTTTTAAATAAGTTCAAACATGATTTCACTCTTAAAACGCTCTGTATCTGCATGTGATAAAGAATAGAGGAGAAGAGAATGTGAGTGAGCTTCTTTTTAGAAGATAAGTAGCTTGTACATTGAAAAGGAGAAATGTGAGTGAGCATTCTTATGACTCGAGAGGCATATATAACCAAAATGAAAAACAAAGGAGGTTTGTACGGAGAAATGGAACGAAATGCTCAGATTATGAGCACAAGTACAGCAAACCATTTCACCCCATACCCATGCACGAACATTGCCCATTTGTTATAGAAGAGGTTCCGGATGCCATAATGCCAATGTTAAGCAAGAGACAAGGCTCCTCTTCTATTGATTTCCCACTTGTACCACATTAACTATAAGGAGAAAAAGAAAAGAACTTTACTCTGAGCCACATGAAGCTATTAATCATTATTCTTCTAAGTACAGGTGATGGTACTTAACCCTCACACTTTCATGGAATTTTACTTTCATCATAAGAAGACCTTTTCCCCCAGACCCACCAAAAACCAAAAACAGAAAAACAAAAATAAGGAAAACCGGTAGTAGAACTGGGTATTTCTGGCTCCTCATATAGGTGCAGACGAGGTTTTAACGTGACTCTTGTAGTAATCGTCCTAGCAAGGCGTTAAACATAGGCACATAGATGATAATAACTATTTCCTAGAAAAGGTACACTGGTACAGGACAGAAGTTTACTCAAAAATCAAAATTTCGCCACAAGAGGCTTCACATATGGGCGTGCAACAAGTCATGAGAAATAAGCTTGAGGAGCAACATTATATACAAACCTGCTGCAGGAAGGGCAAGGACACCAGAAATCCAAGCTCTAGATGCGTTTCCAGATTCTGTCCTGCCATATGAGGCTAGAGAAGGCACTACTCCTCTCAAAGAAACTGTGGCTGCTGCAGCTGCTGCTCGCCCTCCTGCAACAAATATAGCACAGAAATACATCTTTTATTTGGACTCTTCTAATTAGTATTACTTTTTAATGGAAATCAGCTTTTTTTAAGATAAGCACATATATATAGTCATTAAACATAAATGACACATAAGTCATCCATTCCCAACAAGTAATCAAACACATAGGAAAACGGATCATCTTCAATTAGCAAAGCTAGGTGACTTAAACAAGTTGCAAAAGAAACACTATCTTGATCACTAGAGCAAGAAGACGTAATACATTAGTCATACAAATCAATGTGAGGCAAATCCATAATTTGAAGCCACAGGTACACCACTTAAAATATATACAAATTTTAGCTTTTCTTCTTAATTTTTTAAATACAAATATATAGTCCAAGTTTGAGGCAGATGCACATGTTGGATCCACAGTATACAAAAGATCAAAATTAATCCTCTTTTATACACGAATATAAATGTTGAAACAAGTAACAACCACAATCTATAACTAAAAATGATTGCAATTACAAATCTCAATACATAAGTCACATAATTAGCAATGAAAATGAAGAAATGGAATGAAGAATTTACCAGAAAAAGCACGAGAACTCTGCTTGGAGGCAGAAATGAGAGACTTAGCAGCTCGTGAAGCAGATCTGTAAATCTGAGAATTCATTTCTTCGGCTTTTACAAGAAAAAGAGAGAAAAGTCAAGTGTGTCAAGTGTGAGTATGATAAAATAGAGTGAGCAAATTTATGTGATGTTCCCAATGTTGATATCTGAGAAGGTCATATCATGCACGCGCCTTTGGGAGCGTGAGAGCGAGGAGTATGGGATTCGGCTGGGTTTAAAACCCTAGCCCAATGGAATGTGGGAAATCATTATTAGTTATTGTTGATTTGAAAAGTTAATGGAATGTGGTGATTCTTAACATAATTATATTTTGTCTCTTAAACAATTATTATTTTCAGTTCGCCCTACTTCTTGTTTTATCCATGATTAATACTTATCATCAGTCATCCCTTTATAATTAAAAAAAAAAGCACTCATTGTGCTCTTGCATTATAAGAGCACAACTTAGAGGTATTATTTTTTAAAGACGTTTACTATTCAAAACACACTGACCCCGACTAATTTAAATTCATGTCGAAAGCTAAATAGGCCATTAAGATAAAACGTTCTCTAATAAGGTCTCTACTCCCACAACTCGGGCCAAGGCCTTTTGTCAAGGTCGGAGTAATCTCAACCATCTCACCACACCTAGGGTGGTGGTATTGGAGGTACTATCAAATTGCATTGAAGCAATACTGTTTTTCTTCTAGAGTTAAATTAAACCAACTACATGGAGGAATATTCTCATGTCACTACCATTCAAATGGGAAGAAAGAAAAAGAAAACTCCACAAAGAGTATTTTGGTTCACAAAAACTTGATCTAGTTTGGGGATAACATGAGAATTCCAGCAACTAAGAGAATTTAATAATAAATCCAAAAGAGCCTGTTTTTCCAATACAAGACTTATAGTAGTAGATGACAATATTTACGGCTTGTTTGGATGGTTGTTACATATTGTATTGTATCGTAGTTACTTTAAATACAATATTTATTTTGATTGTTACTTAAATTTTATTGTATCATGTCGTTAAATCCGTCGTCATTACCTTATTTTTTCTCTCATCTTGCCCTTCCTTATTATAAAATAATCTTATTGTTTTACTCTATCTTTTTATACAATAATTTTACCTCGTACCTTATTTTTTCTTTATAATATTGCAAGTTTATTCTTCATATTGTTGATGCATGATATCATGAAACTACGGCAAACAATACAATCTGTCCAAACATTGTATACATCAACGATACTGTACAATACAATAATATATGATACATTATGAAACGATACATATAACAACCATCCAAACAAGTTGTTAGTCTTATCATTTCAGAAGCCTTAGGCAGATTATCGAAGCTTGGAAAATATGGTTTGTGTTTCGTATATTTGCTGAAAAAAGATCAAACAATCAATGCATATGAGACGGAGAAAACTTGCACGAAAAGCTGTATCATCGCTATGAGATGGAATACCTTGTTCACTTTGACATTCCATTAACAATCTGAAAGACATTGCTTTGTTTTCAGGACATCATTAATGGATGATAACAATCCTTAAACTGGAAACATTTTATTCAAATGGTAACTTGAATGCCATACAATGGCAGTTAGATAGGCTATGTACAGAATAATGGTGAATACTAACAATTGGCAATCAACTTCCAAGTGAATGATAATGCCTTTGCTTCCATTTTCACCTATTTACAGGTTCTTCTTATAGAGTACTGAAAGAAGAACATGTCAAGTCTTAGTTAACTCATCAGGTGCTGTGCTATTAGATTGCAGCTCAGACTCATTCTGTAATGTCGCCAACCAGGAATCAACCTGCAAAAAGAAGCATTCAGGTAGATGATAAAAGGAGTATGAATCTATAAATCAGATTTTGGTTGTTAGTATACTGTATTTGTAAAATAATTTACTGGAAGAAGAAAAACAACGTATAAACAGAAATGTAGAAGTAGAAATTAATCCGAGAATTCACAGTGTTTCCTTAAGAAACTTAACCCCCTCCTAGTACCCGAGGTTATGAATTATTTCCTCCTATAATAGAACGGATTTATACACTGGTGTAGCGGTACTTCATACCCCAGTGTTTCAACGAATACAAATGGCGGCAGCAATCACACTTACGTTGTTTGTTTTGTAAGAAAACAATGCAGAAAGGAAGAGGAGAATTCAGAATTTTCGTAAGGAAAATCTGAGGGAATGGCCTTCTATACATAGCCAGCAGGTTGGTTTTAAATGATCACGTAAAATGGCTATATAAGCAAAAATGAAACGGAAAAATAGAATCGGGGGAAACTTTAAATTACCGGTACAAAAACAGTCGATTTGGATTAAATATCAGTATTTAACAAATAAATTTGATCTGAATCCGAGCGGCGGCGGCGACGACGGCGCGATGCTTGTCTTCTTCTCAACTCTTTAAGAGCTAGAAGAAGTGTAATCATATATATACTCAACAAATGAGTTTTCCTCCTCCAATGTGACAATGTTCCTTTGTAAAGGAGGGAAAATCAAATTTTCATTTTCCCCTTCATTTTTCAGTCACCCTATTTTAAGCTCTAAAAAGCATAAAACCCAACATATTTGTTACTGTTAGAAGTACTCTGTCCATTTGTTTATAATGATCTCGAATTGAAAATATCAAATCGTCCAGGGAAGACTAATTTGAAAAGACAAGATTCCAATAAAGCATTTTTATCAAGGCAATACTTTTAGACTTTAGTACTACCAACAGGCACTTCGAAATCCATCAAATCATGCATAGAAATAATGGAATCAATATATGCAGAGAGGTGATATGAATTTGCATGTACACGCATGGTCCATAATCAACAGATAGTAGAACGAACAAAGACTGGGTACTCAGTAAATGATCCAGATACAACCATTACCTGTATTTTAGAAACACTAAAACATTCATATCGCAACCCATGACGAGTTGAGATATAAAAGCAATACCGAGTTTCACCGTCTTCTCGTGTCAGACAAGGCAGGGCTCCAACTTCAACAACATCAGATAGGAGGGTCGAATCTTGAGGGCTCAGATCTGCATCATGTTTACTCAAATTTATTCACGAAATAGCCTCTTTGTAGTGTTAAAAGATAACAGAACACTCTTCATGGTGTTACTAGATATCAGAATATCCAAGTACATAAAGAGATTATGGCAGCTTTTAAATCAAGAGACGATAACGAGCCGCAAGGGGCTCATGAGGAATTAAGAGATGTGAAACTACAAAGTCAGCTAATCCCAGTATAACTTAACGGTGAGCCATATCAAATATAGATGGCAATTTCAACATCAAGATGCATGGATGGCATGATTAATTAAGCATATGCAAGCTATAATGACAGACAATCCCAGTATAACTTAACAGTGAGCAATACCAAATAGAGATTGACAATTTCTACTCTTACCACAGGTACTTTTCCTCCTCCACCTACATGAACAGGGGAATTGGAGGATGAACTTTTGGAATTTGTTCAACCATATAGACTGTGGGCAGGGGAGGATATCATATAAGGTACACCATTCTCTACCCACACCGAATAATATTTCCTCCATGTTTCGGATAGCTGAAACTTTTCAACTAATTTTAACGCCTCCCTCCACATGTTTTCACATCTTCAACCACTGTCTTCCACATTCTTGTGTCTGCTTCCACTCACCCTCTTCACGTTTGTCCATCTATTTTGCTAATATAGATTCTTTATAGATTTTGAAACTTTGACGTTGCAAAATTAGGGAAGAGTACAAGTTCAGTTATAGAGCATCAAAACCAATAAGGACGGTGCAAGTGCCCAATGCCCACTAGTGGGGGTGGACAGAAATTTCACCCACCTGATCACGAGGTGTGGGTGAGGTTGAGGGATTGATAAGGTCCTATTTGGAGGTTGAGGGTTTGAATTTCCATCTCTAATTAATAAAATCCCATACCAGTCAATCCAGACTCAAGAAACAATTAAAGCACATCAAACTATATGAGCAAATTTTAGGTGAGTCCATTATACTACAATGAATACCACTACTCAGTATTAGCTGATAAGATATCATTTAAGATTGCCCGGAAATTAGTTTGAAAGATTCTGCCTCTTATGGAAACTCAAAATTGGGAGAAGAGAGAAAACACATAGCGTCATGTTACATCATCAAAAGTTTTGAATAATGGACTTACACTAATGTAGGGCAATACCAGAAAATGCATGACACTTGAAACTGAATGTTTCAATGAAATTACCAGTGGATGATGAATACAAGAAAATACACGATCCCTGAAGGACAAGAAATCTAGGAAGCCAGTCGTCAACTTCAGTGTCATCATCAATAGGAAGAGGTTCTCCTGGTAAAGCCGCCCATCTCTGTCGAACAAAAGCAAGAACAAGATTGTCACAAAGTTAATCCTGAAAATCCAAGAGATATCAAGAAAAGGACAGATGTTTGTGTTCAGTACCGTTCTCACAAATAAATAACCCGACAAGCGAGCTGACTGCAGTATTTCATCAATATGTTCTAATCTGTGAATAGAAAGATATATGTAGATATATCAGAACTGACATAAGAGTACTGCTTAGACAAATCCATGAGTTCTCAATAAAATATACTGGAAGTTGTTCCAAAGTATGCCATCATATTGATAACTCATGTCTTCTCTCATTATCTAGAAAGCCAGTTATGTCATGTATTAATATTAATTCGATTTTCCTATCGACAATACTCACTTCCCAATATGTTATTTCTTGTTTGAAAAGCATGGATCGGAAGTGCGTTAGTTCATTGAAGACTGAAGAGAACTCTCACAGCAATATCTTGCAGGATGTTCACTTTTCCTGCTATTTTTCCCTTTTATTTATTTCTATTTATAATGGCGATGTCCACTCTAGCTAGCATGCACCTCGACTAATCCACCGAGGATCAACTGCCTCCCACGAGCCACGTACTAGGTAGCACTGCCATCAAGGCTTAGGCAGGTGGAAAGAATTCATCTAATTAGCTTCTGTCAGGATTCCACCCTTCTACTCAAGTGGTAGATGAGAAGAATTTCCTGCTTTCTGTTTTCCTCTTTTATCCACTCAACTATCCCGGATGGTTCCATTTTAGCCAGATGTGGAGAAAGCACTCAGAATGCATCCTCTTACCGAAGGATTTTCATAATTGAAGACTGAAGCAAGTCACACATAGAGAGTTCAGGTGTATAGCGCAGTTTTATTACACGTCATGTCATAGTTCCACCTTAGCACATTCATAGAATGTGCAAAAAGACTGTTCAAAGGCCAAGTCAGCTAAGGGAAATAAATAAATAAAACTTGGCGAAGCTTCTATGCTTTTGCTCGTAAACCTCTGATTTTACACTGCAACTAATGTTGGTTATATTTATATCTATGGATGTGTTCATACTTCACATTACACTGATAATCTACCCTACTACCAAAGAGATGAAGAAATAAGTCCTCCTATTCCATTATGCAAGAGGTTTGACAGTAACTTACTCCATGTTTAAAACTTCCACATTACAAAGCATCTTAATGAGAAATTAACAAAACTATATGACCTAGAAATATGTGAGCAAATTAACCAGAAAAATGCCTGGGAACTCTTCTCCTTGCCACAGGTAATAAATCAAAGCACAATCACATCAAAGAGCCAACCACACCAAACACAAATGTGTTTAAAGAAAATAAAAGAGGTGCACGAGGCATAATATGGGAGCACAGTGAAAATATCAACTCACTGCGCTTTTAAATGAGCTTCTCTTTCTTCCAAAGCAGCAATTTCTGACCGAAGAGATTCTACTTCTACAGCAGTTAAAACTACCTGCAGATCATGATAAACACAATGTTCCTTCACTACACATTGATAATGCACGAACTTGCTAACGACTAACTAGGAAATACTAAGTTAGATGGTTAGATGATAACCAAGAAAAAGTTAGAACCTTTTTCTGACCATCTGTACCAGATATCCAAGGTAGCCTCCTGGGACTAAACAAGTTCAACATTGATGCAGAATTTTTCAATTTTCTTCAAGTCCACGATCTATTAATGGATCTATTCAAATAAGGGGAGTAGTGAAGAGCAAAAGGTTGAGATTAATTTCATGAAGATGACACTTTTTTCACTTTAATAATGTCTAATTTATACCTCAGAGAAAAAAATACCTCCCAATCTCTAGACAACTCTGGGCTCTGAATAGAGTTATCACCAAATGTTGAAGCTTGAAAATGATATCTAAGAAATTCTACTGCTCCAGGACCAACACCGTGAAGTATATATTTGCCAACAAACCCACCAGTCGTGACTGGATAAAGTGCAACCAGAATTACCGTCAAATCAGCATTTCCAACTTATAAACTGCAAACTGCATAATGGAAAATAACATTTTCATGACAATCAATAATTGTAGAAGTTTCACAAGTGCTGTTATTGCTGTACTACAATGAGAATAGAGACTCAGCAAATAAATTAGAAGGCAAGGCAGGGTTTCCGTCTCTTGTGGACATAAGGTTTTGCTTCTTGATTCTGATAATCGATTCAAACGTTTTTAACCATTGACATAGAAGTGCCTTTCAAACAATGTAGCATGCCCTGCCATGGCCGAAATGCAAGTCAAGCATCTGTATATAACGGACATGCCCCAGGTTCGAGTACAGAACAGTATCTCGTACACATTGGCTTGCTCAAAAGCATTGTAACGGTCCTGAAATGAAAACTAACTATTGCGCTTGCGGATCAATTTTTTAAACTGTACCTTGATGAGGTGATGGAAGCGGAAGAAGTTTATAAATAGCAATCACTTCCAATTGCAGAAGGAAGTAATACCACTTTGCAACTCGGCATATAATAGGAAAAACAAGGCCAATAAGCAGATCTACACACCAAATTCCCATAGAAATCAGGAGGCATTACAAGGAAAAGCTATTGCCAAAGAATTTGACTTACCAGCTAGAGTTTCAATATTTTCCTTTCTCTAGTCTTTCTTCCATTACCAGTTTCCAGCTACTTTTACACTCCATATTGGTTTAAATTTATGTCGATTATCCATGTCAGCTATATACTCTATCCCTCACACAGCCCAGGACTCAATAGACGGCGAACTTTGAGCTATATACCACTTCTAATAGAAGGGCCACCTTTGAGCTTTACCTCAAACTCTGTATTTCATAACTAAAATGTCTAGAGTACAATCACTGAAGCATAAAACTACTCGAAAAGTAACCTAAAGCTGGTACTAGAACCGAATTATGAATTAAACATGGCCGAGCATAATCCCCAACGCGGTCAATGATCAATTAACTACCTCTCGATCCCAATTAGTTGGGGTCGGCTGTACAACTTACACGTGAAATTCATCTTAAAAAGGGAAAATTAAGTCTATTTCTAAACGGGAAGCAACGAAAAAACAATAAATAAAAGCAAAATAGAAACTAAAATTGCTTTTAACAACCTAATAAAGAGAGCTAATAATTTCTGTGATCACAGGAACTTGTAATAAGCTCAAGCCTTTAGATAACCTAATTAAAGCAGAAGAAAAGCTTCAAAATTCACAAATTTCACCTTACTTCTACTATGAAGATTATTATACTAAAAACAACTGAAAAAACTTAATTAAATTCAACAAACTATCCTAGTGATCAAAGAAAAAGTAAGAAATTGAAACCTGTATTGGTATGGATAATTGACTAGGCGAAGACGAAGCTGAGCTGCGAAGGGAACGAGGAGAAAACTTCCTGCAATGGTTTTACCGAATCGTTTAACATATGGGGTAACGGACACGGAAGTTATCATCTTGTTTGGTCTCCGTTATCTTTCAATTCGTCTCAAAACTTTTTTTTAGTGATTTTTGTAGTATAAATTTTTTTTTTTAAAAAAAAACCGATGCACAAGGGTCTGAGTAAGGGTCGCACACGGCACACTACCAAGGAATGTGACGTAGACATCCTAGCGTTTATGCAGAAATTTTTATAAGCCATGTCATCACTTGAAGAAGTGAACAAATAAATAAATCACTATAACAACTTGCATCGTCATTTTTTTTCTTATAAGTTATACGTACATATTTACCAAAAAAAAAATTACGAAGCAATGTCACGTGACACCACTTGATATAAGGTGCCTACGCCTCTGATGCTACTTACACGGCTCAAACATGTGACTTCCAACCATACATGTCACACGGCAACAAAGTAATCATGTTTTAAATTATTTTTAAAAGATTTTGACTTTAATAGGAATATTATCATGAGTTATCATTTTTTTTAATCAAATGACAAATTTCAAAATATTGTGCTAGTACAAAAACATTTATTTTTGGGTCTTGAAAGCAAAAGGGTACGGACACTTTGAGAAGAGTGTTTGGCTCAAAAGCTATCGATATACTTTGCAAGCTTAAAAACAATCAAAAGTAATAAAGGGTAAATCGTAATCAAATATAATAGACCTAGAGATGAAAAATGAAGTTGTTGTTGTAGATCTAATAGTGATAATATGAACTCAAGAGGAAGTATTCGTTAGAGATAGCAATAGAGAGTATGAGAAAATGAGAGAGTTGTATTATTCCAGAGTCCTCCCTTTACAATGTGAAGGTCTCCCTTATATAATAGGAGACCTTCCTCGAAATAATAAAAAAAATTACAAAAATAGATAACGTTTTCCTAGTGAAGATACTGAGTCCTAAACGATGTCGCTTTTGTCCCCACGTCCGAGTCGTACCCTTACGTTAGTTGGCGTATACTCACTGGGCGTATCCATTGGTGTAGAGACGCCGACGGTCAAATTTGACCTTGTACAAAGAGTAAAAAAAAAATTGTGTTTATACAGCTAGTAGAGTTTTTGGGTAATGTAATTAATTTTTTAGTGATTAAGCAAATGTACGTTTAGAAAATAAAGAACCTCAAATATTTGTATTGGTGTAATATTAACATGAAATCAGTTTAAACTAAATAACATGGTCCGTGAGCTGCTGTTGTAGTATTATCTCACGAGAAATTTGTTAAATACAATTAATAAAAACTTAGAGCACGATCTATCAGGATTTACACATGTTTTTTCAAAACCTTTTAACTTAACGACAATTAATTGACATATACATCTCACATTTACGCTAAATTAACATAATTTGATTCAAAAATCATCATGTGTAACAGTGTGGCTTCTCCAATATGGTCTAATTACTTATAATCTGAATTTCACTGTGTTTCAAGCATTTAAATACTTCCTTTCCAACAACCATCCGAGCTTTAATTTGTCGCTAACTATGATTTTAAGTTACCACCAAAGGATGTGGTGCATCAGACGGGACTACTCTTCTTTTAAACACAGGTTTCGGGTTTAAGCCATGGATATGGAAAATTCTTAGCAGGCAGCGCTTTCACCGAATGGGGACCTATGCGTTGCGATTCCGGATATAGTCGGACTTCAATGCGGCTACCGAATACCGGGTGAAAAACCAAAAAAAAAAAAAAAAAAAAAGTATGATTTTAAGTTTGCAACTGATGGTTGGAAGAAAAAGCTTACAGTTTATGTTTCATTTTGCAGTTTTTGACGAAAAACTGTTACAGGCTGAGCTGACTAATGTAGGAAGACTTTCAGCTGAGCCCAAATCTAAATAGAACAAAAAGTGACATAATATTTTCTTGAAGAATTAACTTAAATATCCGAATAATCGGCAAATGTATAATATATGTATATCATATCTAATCGTACATAATCATCGTATAATCTTTGTATGCTGACTAGAAAAATTAAATAGTAAATTTGACCAACTATTTGTACAAAGATCCTTTTCTTTCAAAAAAGGCGAACAAACTGAATCAGAGCGAAAGACAATCATGTTTGGTGTATTATAATCCTTTAAGATCGTAATCCCTTCTTTTTTTCCATCTTTAAGATCGTAAATCAAATAACAGAATACTAAATCCGACCAAATAAGTTGAAATGACCATGAAAAAGGAGTACATGCTACAGAATAGGAGTGTCAAAATGGCTAAGTTTAATAAGTGAGTTGATTGGATCAAACTGGTTCAACAATGAGTCATAGGCTAACCAGCCCAAATCTTTATAAGTTTTAATTTCTAAATTTACTTTCTTGTAATTTATTTAATTATCTAACAAAATTAATAAAACTTTTAGTATCTTTATTGTAGTTATATATAACATATTAAATAAGGATAATTTTACAATACATCTCATAGGTCAATCTGGGCTAAATTTAGCCCATTTTAGATGGACTGAGTTGTGCATGTCAACTTAACGGAGTTGTGCGGGTCAAAATGAGCAAGTTGGAAGGTCATTTTTTCTTAAGCTAATTTTGCCGCCACCACTACATAAACTGGAGACGAATACATACACGAACACTTCTTAGAAACAATTAAAAGAACACAAGAAAATCAAGTTTACGAATTCTCTATCAGAGTAAGAAGAGATTCTCCAAAGCAATCACAAACGAAAGTACTTGCAAAAATCAAGAACTCTCAAATATCAAGGTATTTGTTTTATAAAGTACATTGTAGATAAACAGCACAAATGTGTCTCAACTATCTTCCTGGTCTCAAACATTTATATATAAGCACTATCTACTTTCTAAATTGGTGGCCAGTTCAAAAGCATTTTTTTCAAATGAGAACTTCAAAATAGCAATTAGCAAATAGCATAAGGCAGCATCACTGACATATACAGTCAAACCTCTCTATAACAGTCTTATTTGTTCCGAATATTTTTGGATGTTATAGCAAAATGCTGTTATATAGAACATATATTATAACATAACATGACATTTGATTCCGGAAAAGCTTGGCTTTATAGCGAAGTGGTGTTATATAAGGATGTTGTTATAGGGAGGTCTGAATGAAATATAAACACTTCCACGGTTCTACTGGTATTATAAAAAAGAATTAACCACTATTTTTTTTTACCAAAGGAAAACAGCACTTGAAAATATCAACATATAAAGGTAGCAAAAAAGGGTAGAAAATAAAAAATGTAACTGGCGTCAAATGGTCCAAAAGCAGTAATGCAGAGATGCATGCAAATAAATATATTGGAAAAGGGAAGTAAACGGAATGCAAGGAAGAAAAAGCGAAAAAATAAAAGGATGCAACAGGAAATCAGAAAAAAAGACAAATAGACGTCCATACCAGAAATCAGCCATGAGCATGGTGAGATAGACGTCTAATCCTTGCTCAACTAAAAGGTAGTGAGGAATTGTCTACACCAACATCCCAAATAAAATAGGAAACCCAAATAGACGAATAGGTTAAAATCCCACAACGTATTTGTAGTAGTAGTAAGGGTTGACGTTGCTTTCTGGGAACAGAAACACAAGAAGAAGAAAAAAGGCAAGAGCATAAAATGAACCAAAATGTTTTATTGATTAGCTACGAGCAGCAAGCAGACAAAACATATGATGGATTATAAGCGGCATTTCAAAAACTCAGGAAAATAAATTGTCTCAATGTGTACTTTCAGGAGAATGATGTATCCGACTTAAATTTACTGACCCAGACTCAATTGACTCTGGCATCACTGCCTCAAATACCTCAGAAGACACATCAGGGTGTCGCAAGGGACCACATTTAGCCTCAACAGACTCCTCTTCCTCTTTGACATTAACTAGAATTGAAATGTCGGTCCTTATCAAATCTTTAGATACCTGAGGTGCAGGGGCATCAGATCTACCCACCTCTCCGAGAGACAAGGAGTTCTCTTCAATTTTAATTTCCTCAGCCACATCCGGAACGGTATCCCCGTCCATGCCAACTTTTTCCACCACAGAAGGAGGGAGATCTGATTTCTCAGCAGTGTTCAGACTCATTGGCTCACACAGCTCGTTACAGGTGGTGGTTTGTGAAAGCCCTACAACTTCCTCAGAACTAACAGGGAGATTAACCCCCTTAGCACCATCTTCTGCTCGCGCATTATCCGCTGGAACAGTCTCCTCAACTTTAACATAATCTGAACTTGAATTCTCTAATTTAGGTGCTGGATAGGACTCACCTAGCCGACCAGAAAACGAACATTTCACATCGTTTACGAGTTTAATTTCTTCTCTCCTCTTCTTGTAAAGGGAAATGGCTTTCTGCAATTGGGTCACATGGGATAAGGGAAAATTAGAAAGCAGAAATTTATGTATATAAAAACAAAATTGATTCACTCTAAAACTGAATAACCAGATTGGGTAACTATCCCCCATTCTTTTCTTTTTAAAACAACTTATAGAGCACATCAGTGAAAAGGACCAAGTATGATTGTTCCTCTCATTGCTTTTCTCCTAAAAGGTGAAAGAAGATATGTACAGCCAATAACACTGTAAGTAACCCCAACAAACATAAAATGTATTTCATAGTCCTCGTAAGACACTAATACAACAGGTGGTTATGCATAAACGGCATAGCAACAGCTGATAAAATCAATACAAAAGAACATAGTTGATCAAAATATATCACTTTCCAACTCGATATGCATATGCAGCTGGCACAAACCACACACCTGAAAAACAGAATCAGCCACGGTAGCAATGACTGAAGCACTTGAAAATTTGCCGGGCAGCGCCGCATTATGTTCCACAGCACCCTGCTAGAGGAAGAATGAGTGTTACACTTTTGGGGATGAAAGTGATAAATTTGCAAAGAAACGATTCTGTTATCCGATTTACCTCCAAGAACAAAATTTTAGAGATATCTACATCAGATGTCATGTTCTGATCAACATCCATTAAGCTAGCACATTGATCAAACAACTCAGGCTCCGTAAGATCTGCTGATATATCAAGCTTTTCGAGGTAAACATTGCAAAGGCGAGCCTCTTCTTTCCCAGATGGCTTCACCTCAATTGGTTGCTCTTCAGGATTAAGTTTCAAGTCTTCTGGAGTGCTCCTTCCAGGAACAATGCTGGACTGACTGATATCATTGCTTTCAGCGTCTTGATCTGTCTGCTTTTGCTCACTCTGGGCTTGCTGAGCCGACTGAGCAGCAAAAGAATTATCTCCTGGGCCCTGAACTGAACAAACCTCCTTCTGTGAACCAGATGGCAGCTCCACACTGGTGCCCCTAATTGGCCCTTTCCATACATCACCACTAGTCTCCCAACTGCGACTATTGTTGGACAGCGTCCTACTCTGGTCCCAGTCTGGCCTCCCATAAAGGTGAGCTTCTTCACCAAAATTGTTACCATCCCACCCATGCAATGGCGGACCGCATGAATCATCCAGTGGAGTTCGCCAACCCCCCATCGGGCGCCCATGGCCAAAGCGGTCTGCATCTGGTATATGGTAAGGAACCCCAGAGTGACTCAAGTCCATTGAAGGTCTGACACCAAACATTGGCGGTCCAGGAAACTGCTGCATCGCAGGATGAAAACCAACAGGCGGTGGACCATGCTGAAAAGGCATGAAACCATTTGCCAGAGGTGACGGCCAATTTGGAACCCCTTTCCAAGCATTTCCTTGCATTCTTCCAATATTGGGATCATTAATTCTTCTGTGACGGTTGGTCGACTTCCCTCTACTATCATCCTCCAAAGAGCCAAACATTAATGGGCTGTCAACTCCAGATCTAAATGGGGGAGGGGGAGGTAAAGCAGACTTTGAACTGCCTGAGAAGTGACTCCCTCTGATAAAAGGTGAAGAAACAGAGACGTTATCTCCGTCCATTTGTGATAGTTCCTCACCTGCAAATGCATCGCCAGCAAAGTCACGGTTACCTCTGCCTTCCTTTACTTCCCTGGAGCCACCACTTCTCTGTGTTGCTTCCTCAACATCAAGACTCCGGCGAACCTCAGATCTACTCAAGTGTCTTCGCTCATTGCTCGCTGAAGAGGGAGATCTATCCACCAACTGCAGGGGAGAACTGCGAACATCTGCTTTAAGCCGCCGTTCAGCTGAGAACTCTCCATGAAAGATATCCTCCTTCTGAATCAGCTTCTCCGTTGATCGAGATGAAATCCTCTCCATTGATCCCCCTGAACCAGCATAATCTCGAGAGGTTCCACCATGTCGAATCCTTTCTTCATAAGGATAATCCCTGTACTTAGACTCTTCTTGCTTTGACAGCCTGGTAGGCAAAGAAGGGCAGTACATATCATTGTCAGCTTTTGTTAACATAAAGCAGACAGACAGACTGTTGGTAATAGAATATTAATCATTATTAGCATCATCAATAAAGCAGAACACAAGGGCCAAATAAGACAAAACTAGATCTCTGGATTGGGATCAAGAAGGTTTTATCGAGCAAAATTCTTAAATCCTCTGGTGTAATGCACAAGATTACCAACGAAACAAGCACCTCTATAACTGTTTGTGAAATATAGCTTAAATGACTTGGCATCCAAATGTTGCACTAAAACAGAGAGTAATTATGTTCATGAGACAGGCATGAGCAAATGTCACCAGTGATTAAGAACCTACACAGAAGATCAACAATTCCAAGATATTTTTTTTTTTGGGTGAGGAACAATTCCAAGAAAATTTATTACAAACCAAAAGAACAGAAACCAAACAGAGTTCTTAGCCCTTTATACCATTCTGACCAACTAATAGATTACCCAAATATACAACGCTTAGAAGCCAAAAGTCAGTACAAAGACTACCACTACTAAAACCATATAGCAAACACAAGTAGTGGCCCCATCTTCCTTCCCCTATTTCACATGAATATACCTTCAAACAGTACAAGGAGAAAAGCTTCTGAAATGCACAGAAGGAAATGGTTGGGCAGAAAATTGAATAATTCACTACAGGCATCCATTTTTCAGTCAACAACAGGCCTATCTCTGAACTACATCACAGGGCCATCAATCACAACCAGAGGAAGCAACTCTAAGTGATAGGAAAGCCAGCATATATACATAAATGTGAGCTATTCTACAAATCACAAAAGCCACTCTTGAAAGAACCCAGAAGATCACTATTTCATAAACGAATCTAATTAACCTTGCAGAAATAGCACTTATCATAACCAGAAAACTTAGCTAGCTTTCCCAAAACTGAGCAGATCACGCAGAAGACATAGATTTATCTCTACTCACGGAATAAGCATGCAGCGGAACATTAAATTATAACAGGATTTTAGCATATAGCTCGCTCTGCACTGACTGCGACGCTGTATTCAGTTTCAGCATATTTTCAGAAAAATAAATTCCTACTTCTCATATTTGAAACTGGTGCAGTATAAAGAGGTCAATCAAACCTCCTCATCATTCCATCAACCAGCTACAAGTTTTCTTAATAATAAACCTCTCCTGCCCGGGAAAGAACAACAATACCATTCAAATTGTAGTAGCTTTTTTTATTTTATTTCAACAAATGCGGTCTCTAGGAGAGCTAACACACCTCAACACCTGCTACAACACACAAGAGCAGGTGATGTATAAAATAGGCTCATATTGAGGGTTCTTGCCGCAATCCTAGACTTCAACTACTTAGCCAACCGTGTGGGACAATACAAATTGTAGTAGGTAACGCTAGGTTCAAGCCCTATAAAGTTACACCAAGGGGGAAAAAATAAGAGGATAGCATGATTATTCAAGAAATCAAGATCATTCAAGTAATCAAACAGATGATTTCAGTTCTACCTGATGAATCACATCTACATTGATGACATATATGAAACAGCAGGAAGAAAGAAAACTGGTAACTACTTGCCTGTAATTATCCCTAGTAGTATGAGGGCCAGCACCGGGTGAAGTCCTCCACCTGCTCTTTTTTGGAGTAAGTTCTACATCAGCATTCCTTGAGGTAGACCTTCCACGATCAGTGACAGACTCTACTCTAGAACTGATGGATCTCTTCTCTGTTTCAGAGCGCTGCTCTTTAGAACCCCGAGACCTAATATCCCCAAGGTCCTCTTTATCATGAGTTCTCCTTCTTCCGAGCTCATCTTTATACCTTGTACGATCATCATAACCAAGGTTACCATCATGCAAACCTGATTTCCTTAAATGCAAATCAGAAGCATGACCCTCATCCCTAGAACGCTTCGCATCAGACCGGTCACCTGAATGGTCTCTTGGAGCACGTTCATCCCCGTACTTGGCATCATTAATTCTCCTCTTTTTATCACTTTCATCTGCTTCATCACCATCTTTGCATCTTCCATGTCTTTCAAAATCTTCTTGGTGCTTCTCATCCTTGCGCCTTTTATCTCTTTCACTATCTTCTTTATATTTGATGTCCCTCTGCCTATCATCCCTTTCACCATCTTCATGATATCTATCTTCATCATGACGGCCATCTTTTTCTGCATACTCTCGATACTTATCATCCCCATGCCTGATATCACTGTCACCATCTTCACGATATTTTCCATCCCTACGACGACTATCTCTTTCATCATCTTCTCTATACCTGTCATCTTTACGTCTATTATCTCGGTCACCATCATCACGATATTTGTCATCCCGGCGTCTGCTATCTCTTTCGACATCTTCCAGGTACTTATCATCTCTACGTCTAATATCTCTGTCACTATCTTCCCGATATTTATCATCACGTCGTTTTCTGTCCTTATCAACATCCTCGCGATACCTATCATCCTTGTGCCTATCATCTTTATCACCATCTTCCTTGTATTCTTTATGTTTTTCATGCCGGTGTTTTTCATCTCTAGTACGTTCGGATTTCGAAGATAACCGCCTGTCATCACTCTCATTTATATCATCTTCATATTTATCTCTATCACCAGGGACCTCTCTCCTCTTCCGTGCCTTCTTTTCAGTTTCCTTGTCCAAGTCAGGGTTCTGTACCTCATTTTGGATAGACCACTCTGTAAAGGTCGAAGAAAAGTTTAGAGATAAAGAAGGTTAAACACCTAGCAATTTCTCCTTTAAGGAAAATGGGAAAAAAAAAAACTAACCAACATACTACAATCAAAGCAATGACGCATTGGAAATAATAACACCAAAAGCATTTTGATACCGTAAAATTTAATACTGGACAACCTATAACACCCAATCTTTACATGTCTCCCACAGTACATAGGCATATAAGATCATACAACTTAATCCTCGACTACCATGATATTCCTACAGATTGACTTAGTATATTCAAGCTACAATGCCAAGCCAAAATCCACCATTCAGAGGGGAGAGTAAGACAATCCATCTTCACCTCTGTTTCGCATCAAGTTACAAAAAATACAATCTTCAATACATGGATGCATTGGGGAAATGCCACAAATAGACTAAATGAATGCAACAGGAACATAACTACAGCCGGGTTCCCTCAAAATTCTCCCCCTGTTCCCCCCAAACAAGATCACTTTTATTAATAAGGACCCCGTAAACAACATCACTCAACAAGAAAGCAAGGGAGGGAGCCTTTTTATTCCTTATTTCCATGAAGTGCTCCTAGTTTAGAATATGGAACTGTCTCCCACTATTGTCCTCTGCCCAATTAACGCAGTGAAGAGTCATCTAAATTGCGAACAAATTTCACAAGGATTCCTACTATTCTTATACCAGACATAGAGAGGACTTCCGCCAAGAAAGCTTCAACTTGCGCATCTCTACGGCACATTCTCTACCAAACAATAACCAGATGCTTGAACAACAGAAGGTTACAGAATTCACTCTCCTACAGTCATACCGGACCAGAATATTGTCCCCACTATTAGTCTTGGTTAGACATGCAGAAATTGAACAAAAAAATGCATTTTTTAATATTTAAATCCTTTAAGGTTTCCATTAGATTTAATGGGGATATTAAGACTAACAAGAACTCACCAAAAGCTTAGACATTCCAACAACAAATACTACTCAAATAAGTTACCTTACCAGCAGTTTCTCTACCTTTTTTGTTCTGCTTTTCCTCACAAACATCACCTAATTGATACCCTTGCTTCTTCACATTGTCCACATCATCGCGTTTACTCTCATGACCTTTCTTTTCCCTATCTGACCCTCGCTCCTTTTCCTTCAAATCCTTGCCCTCTTTTCGAGCAGAATCCTTCTCAGATTTCCTCTTTGACTCCACTTTTCCACTACTCTTGCTCTCCTCTTTCTCCACCAATGAGACAATACTACCTTCTTTCTTACTATTTTTACTCTTGGAATCACTTGAACTCTTTGTTTCCTTCCCTTTAAAACCCTTATCTGCATCACATTTCAAACTTTCTCCCTTCATTTCACTATCCACAGCACCATTCCACCTATCTGCGCCACCACTAGTCGCCTCTGTAGCCTTCTCTTTGCGCCTCTTGGACGAAGCATACTCCTCCGAAACATCACCATTTCCATAGCCACTTAGATCTTTACCTTTCCGCTTCTCACCAGAAGCTACGTGGCTTGAATCCTTAGAAACCCTAGCCAAACTCTCCTCTTTACTGCTCTTCTCCTTCTCTTTCTCCTTCATCTTCACATCCGAATCCGAATCCGAGTACGAGTAATCCTTACCCTCCTTCGGACTATGTTTGCTCTGCTTGTGCGATTTATGCTTCGAACTTCGAGGCATAACTGTAAATATACCAAAAACTAAACCTTTTTAATTCTCCGAAACCCTAACTCTCTTAATGTTTCCACCAGAACAACAACAATAACAACAAAACTCAATCAGATTCCATTACCATCACTCGCTCGTCGCCAATCGAATCTGAACAAGCACCGCCGGTTTCCGCCACCGGTAATAAAATGACAAGCTTCCAGAAACCCTAAGTCTCTTGCAGTTCAAAACTTAAACAGGTTCCATTACAATCACACGCTGCGCTATAGAATCGAATCAAATGCGAGACACGCCGCCGGTCTATTTCCCCGAAATCTGAGAAAGTTATTCAAATCTGTCGATATCGCCGAAAGCAACAGAGATACATACAACAATAGTGTACAGTATACGTATAAATACAAGTCTAGAGAGAGAGCGAGAGAGATAGAGAGAGAAATTATTGAGAGGAGACTGAGAAGAGAAAATTGGGAAATTTTAAGAGAGAAGATCGGAGGCGATGGTTTGCTGCTGCTGGGCTGCTAAATTAAAATGTGATTCGTATTGGGGTATCGCAGATAATAGGATGTGTTATGTCGAGAATACCCTCGATCAGAGTTTGTATTTACTATGGAGTTAGGGCTGACACGCAGTCCCGTAGTCGACCATGAGTACTGAGTAATAAAGGGTATTTTCTGATAAAATTCCCTTTTTTTTTTCCTACCCCGTGTATGATACTTGTGTTAGGCTCGACTAATTCTACCGTTCGAATCTCATCAAAAATAATTTTATTTACAAGCTCGAATAAATTTCGATTAAGAGTAAAAGAATATTTGTTGATAACTTACTTACTTTGATATAATTAGTGCTCAATATTTCGTTACTTAAGAGTAAGGGACATCAAATACAATCTAAACAAGACGCCTTATAATTTTATTACGCAAGAAAGAAGGACTTGCAATATCTCAATTAGAATTTAGCCTTGATTAGTTCGAGGACTCAGCAAATTCGTCTATTTAAAGTCTTCAATTGTTATCAAAGCTTTGGTGACCAACACCATCGACATGGATGAGTATATTGTTTCGATGGCGCAAACAATTGATTCCCTTGAAAAAATATTGATGTGTTACTTATAAGTTTAATCTCGTCTATGTTTTATTTTGTATGAAATAACATAACTTTTATGATATGCAAATATTAGCTATTAATTAGACAATGTATTAGTTCTGCTAAAAAATATTATTTTTGTGTGATGAACTAAACTATAATAAATATACGAACTTTTATATTGAGATTTATTTTGTGTACAAGACCAACCAAACAATCTCGAAAGCCTAATCATCAAGATGGCAGTATTTGGATTATAACTCATGGTAAAAATAACATAACGTAAACAAGTAAAAGTAGTCATTGTATGGGGTCAAATTCTGCCCACTACGGTAGCAACGACCCGCGACTAAGTAATAGTCGAAACGAGGGTACGACCTAAGAACGTCGGGGTGAAACGTGCCTTTAGATCTCGTCGTCTCCTCGAAAGCACGTGACCTATCTCTGCATTATTTTATTATTTCAAGGGGGTTCACCTGTTATATAAAGGAGGATCCCAATGTTGTAAAGGCATCTGATCTTGGAATACAAAACTCTCTCTCTCTCTCTCTCTCTCTCTCTCTCTCTCTCTCTCTCTCTCTCTCTCTCTCTCTCTCAGCAAGCACTCCTTTCTCTCTCGAATATCCAAGTTGTTGAAGCAATAACAAGCATAATACATATTTCTAAGTTTCATTATATTCGATTACGATTTACCTTTGATTCATTTTAATTGTTTTCACTTACAAAGTAATTAGAATCTTTTGAGCTAAACAGTCATGGTTGTATAGCTTCAAACTTGGTATGGCACCCAAGTTTGAGCTCGAACTTCATTCGATTGAGTTTCTAAGAGTTTAAACTTATTCGTAAATTTAATCGATATCAAATTCAGCTAAATTTGTTTTTTCATCTACACACTTTTTTATTCTTCCGAATATATACAATACTTGCATTTTGTTTGTTAATTTTGCATCAACGGCATGAGAGTGATGATAAAACTGTTTACCCAGAAAATTGGATACAATTAAACTTATAATGTGATTTTAAGGACACCTGATTTCTCCTAATACCAATTAAAAAATGTGAATATTAGTGATAGAAATTTACAACAAAGTAAAGCAAACCAGTGTTGAAATGGAATTCAATCCTCGAGTTAGAATGCCCTCGAACTGATTGATACCAGAACAAGCAAAAATAAGACGAGCCGGTGAACAAGAGAGTATAAGCTAAAAAGAGTATTATATTGCCCTGATATGTGAGAATCCAAGTCCCTTACAAATGATTGGAACTCCTTTTAATATAGTAGAGGAATTCTAATTATGGTATAATTCTAATTACCGAAGGAAATCACATGACTAGCTAATTAACCGTTCTTGATTTGATCCGTTCCGAGATTCCCGCCATGATCTTCGACCAGTCACGAATATCTCGCTTTTTCTGTTATTATGCTATCTTTGATCTTGCTCGATGTTTGTCTCATTTGGTTTCGATCACTACTGGCCTCGATCTCGATAGGTACCTCGAATTCCGAACTCAACACTTGGTCCTCGTGCCTCGATCCGATACAGGATATGATCGATAACTGAGAACTTCCTTAAGCAGGTGAAGGAAGACCGCAACTAGGGATGGCAATTGGGGCGGGGCGGGGCGGGGCGGGGCGGGGCAGGGCAACCTTTGACCCACTAAGATTTTGACCTGCCCTGCCCTGCCCCGTTTAGCCTTGTTCCAAAATTTTGCCCTGCCCTGCCCTGCCCTATTAAGCCTTGCCCCGCCCTGCCCCATTTAGATTAATTTTTATTTTTTTCTTTTTTTTTAATTTCCCAGTAAATACTTTGTCTTACCCATATATCTATACTATATTAAAAGCACGAAAGCCCTTAGCGAAATGTCGTTCAAAGAATATCATCTTCGAAGATTAACGTGCTATTTGGTTTTAAACCATCATCTTCGAAGATTAACTATGAGAAGATACATAATTCTTAACATGTATTGAAGTATTGAAATTACATGTGTATTCATATACGGATGTTTGTCTTTATAAATATTGACAATTAAGAAGGGACTTCGGCATTCTTTTTAAAATATTATCACGAATTATAAATTGCGAACAATTAAAGTTGGCATTAGTAAATGTCACGGTTGAAAATCATACAACACATGGTTTCTCTCACTCTCAAGATAACGCATAGTATTATGTATACTTTGGATTGTCTATTTCTTTAATTGTAGCTTCCATGTCACATTCATCAATACGTAGAAAATTCTACTATCCTTTAAAGGTATTATCCCAAATTTGTGTGTGTGACATCCTCTAGCTACTTCAATATCAATTTATGAAAGAAAAGAAGACATGGACCAATAAGTAAGCAAGGGCTCGACCTACAACCTGCCCTAGTCCCACTTAAAATTTTTAAAAATGTAGTTTTGCCCTGCCCTGCCCCGCCCTGCCCCATTTACATATTTCCCTGCCCTGCCCCGTTTACTGTTTGCCCTGCCCCGCCCCAATTGCCATCCCTAACCGCAACTTCATGTATAGGCATTTGGATTGTTAACTGCTTTGAAATTAAAATGTCATGTATAGGCCGCGATTCTCTTCGAGTATATCCTTCAACGGTTGAATGTACCACACTGGTTATTTCATGTAAGTAATATTTTTTAGCTAATTAACCTATAAAAAGTAAATTATTTAGCAAAAAATGATATTATCACTTTCGAGATTTATTTTATTTTGTGAAGATTTTGGTATGTCCTTTGCTAAAAGTACCATTAATATGATTAATAGAACTAAATATTCTTATTTACGAAGCAAAAAATGAACATGTAAAATTTGGATGGTCTAGTGGCTAGTATGTTTTAAAGGATGTCACTCTTTTCATTCCAACTCCTGCTATTCCCTCAAGTTGTAACTATAATAGGAAATTTTTTACACATATTTTACTTTCATTAGATCAATAAGCGCATGATATGCGTCTTTTATATGTACGTTTTATTTCTAACTTTATCTAGTTAACATATTCTCTCTTCGCTCCAAATTACTTGTCATGCTTCGATTCTCGATAGTCAATTTGTGTCAACTTCGATGATAAGTTGCAACTTCATATTTTAAAATAAAAATTATGAAATTCAAAAAACTATATAAAAACTACTCCAAGTTATGATTTTTCTCCTGCCAATATGATGAAAAAAATATATTTCAAAAAGTTGATCAAAGTTCACATAATTTGACTCTTGAAAAACGAAATGTGAAATCTAATTTGAGGCGGAAGGAATGTTAATTGGCATCTCAATTGATAATTTAATTAATGATAATTATATAATTTAATGTAAATACAAGGGTAAATAATTACTACTACTATTTTTTTTTCCGGAGAGAGACAAACAAAATACTCAAAGTGAAAAGATAATGTACACTATCAAAGAATGTGGTGCAGTGAATGAGACTGCTTTTTTCTTAACCAGAAGTCTCGAGTTCGAGCTCTGGGTATGGAAATATGCTTGGTAGAGAACGCTTTCTCCCGAACTGGGCCTTATACGCGCGAATCAGAATATAGTCGGACTTCAATGCGGATATCGGACGCTAGGTGAAAAAAAAAAAAAAAAAGATAATGTACTACTACAAAATCTAAACAGCTTCTACACATGTACACAGTAACACTGAACCAGTGTCTTTCATTTGTCAATAGAAGATATCAAAGTACAAACAAATTCGTGGTCAGAATTCAGTCTCTCATTTCTACAAAACACTTCTCACCACCTTTCTTCCCAAATCCAAATTCTTGAGAATCAAAATCATGGCTTCTTCTTCTTCCTTTCAACTCTCAAGTCTCCAAATTCAAACCCCACCTCTTAAAAAATCCAACTTTTTTGGTCAATCTCACAACCTTAACCTTAGTAATATTCATACTAAATCAACTCTGAAACCATCTTTAACCTCAATTACTACTGCAAAATTCAATCTTTATGAGATTCTTGGAGGTAGAGGTCTATGTAATGGAGAAGAAGGTATACAAAAAGAGCTAAAAAAGTCAGTTTCAGAAGAACAATCCTCAGCAAAACCAGCAACTGTTGATAATAATAATAATCAAGAAAAGATGGAAACTGGGGAATTTCCAGAAGATGGATTTGAGAAAGAAATGATGGGGTTAGTTGGTGGATTTCCAGGAGGTGAAAAAGGTTTAAGAAAATTCATAGAAGAAAATCCACCACCTAAGAAAACAGAATCAAGAATGGAGGGTTTTAATCTGAGTCTTGTGAAGAAACCAAAGCCACCTGAATTACCACTTTTGTTACCTGGAATGATTGCTATTGTTAAGAATTCTAATAATCCTTATTATATGTATTGTGGGATTGTGCAAAGGATTACTGATGGAAAAGCTGCTGTGCTATTTGAAGGTGGGAATTGGGATAGATTGATTTCTTTTAGGCTTGAAGAGTTGGAAAGAAGAGAGAAAGGACCACCAATGGT